GGCTATTTTACTTTGCAATAGCCAATATTGCACCCGCCCTCTGCTGCTGTCAATCACCAGAAGTGGAGCTGATGGAAAACTGCAGGTCCCCCTCTGCTGATTGACAGCAGCAGTGGGTGGATGGAATAGCTAGTTTGCTATTGGCTATTGCAAAGTGAAATAGCCAATAGGAATCTAGCTATGCATTCCTATGCTGGCTTTTTTTTTCTGACTGAGGGCGGCCAGCGGCCCCATGTCAGAAAAAAATAAAGACAGATCACAAGGAAAGGTTTACTCTGCTCGACCGAGCAGAGTAACCCAGATAGCAAGTAATTGAGCTGCAAGTTTGAAAATGACTTGCTAAACTATTGCAGACTTGCCAAGCTTCACAATTTAGTTGCACAATTACAGCAAGTCTGCATTGCAAGTCTCCAGACCAGCCAGCTTGCAGAGCTCTTGCTAAGACCTGCAGGACTGCTGTAGACTTGCCAAGCAAATTTGCTACAAATTCAAAAAGTGTCAACTATAACTTGTGCTGCAAGTGTTCTGCAAGTCTACAACTTGCCAGGAATATGTGCAGCAAGTTAACAAAAATTACAATTTCACCCTGCCACAAGTTTGTAGCAAGTTATCCTTGCTATGTGGGAAACCTTTCCGGGAGAAAATGTTTCTCTCCTGGGCGGCTGGGAGCCATATGACTCCCAGAGCGTCCGGGAGAGTAATGACAGATCAGCGTCCCTGGTGACCCTGGTGGCCCCGGTGTCCCTGGTGGCCCCGCTGGTTTCTCAGTGTGTAATGACAGATGGCATCCCTGGTTACCTAGTAACCAGGGAAGCTGATCTCTCTGCAAGTGGCCGGAGCCAGCCGTGAGAATACGGTTGGTTCCGTCCAGCTGTCAGAAGCAGGCTGTCGGCCGGCCAATGGCCGGCTGTTCGGCCAGCTTCGGCTAGATCTCTCTGCAAGTGGCCGGAGCCAGCCGTGAGAATACGGTTGGTTCCGTCCAGCTGTCAGAAGCGGGCTGTCGGCCGGCCAATGGCCGGCTGTTCGGCCAGCTTCGGCTTTCCCCTCGGCTCAGTCAAGCCGAGGCATATGCCTTCGGCTTGACTGAGCCGCTCGGTCAACTTCGGGAGCTGTACGGGCTATAGTGAATAGCCCTTAGAGCAGCCCTTTGGTTCTACTGAACCGAAGGGGTCCTGGGGCCGAAGCTAGCCGAAGGATCAGCCGAATCTACGGCTAGATGCTTCGGCAGCTTAGTGAATAGACCCCTAGATCTTATTTCAAACAGTGCCTACAGATCAAGGTGATATATTTGAATAAGAACATATATTTTTTTAAATTAATTTAGTCAACAAAAATATCAATAGAGATAATGGTATCCTTTGGAAAAAGTGTTTCAGGGTTAATCAAATCAGGGCTTTGACTAAGTAAGTCTATAATCTCTCCTTTAGATTTGTTGGATTTGGTAGTGCACTTGAATTATCATTGTGTTAAAAGGCTTATTTATAATTTAACTTCAAAGTTTAGACAGATGGCCTCATGTTTTCATCAAGCACATGTTGATATGATGCAGAATGTGCAGTTGATTTGATGACAGTGTGAACTGCCCAGGCCCCGAAGCAACAAAGCAACCCCAAACCATAACATTTCCACAACCATTCTTCACAGTTGTTATAAGGATCTTCAGGAATACTGTTTTGAAGCAAACATCTTAACTGTTACTGTGACCAAACAATTCCATCGTAATCACATTGTTCGAGAAGGCCTGGTCTTTGCCTATATGTTTAATGGCATTTACATTTTGGGGTTCTTGGAGACTTCTTTTAGCATCAAATTGTCAGCTTTTGGGATCAGTTTGCTGGGCCGGCCAATCCTGGACAAATTAGCAGTTGTTTGAAATCTACAGTTTTTATATTATTTTCCTTATAGAGAAATAATAAATAAAATCTTTCTGGGCATTCTTTGAAAATAACTTGCCAGACTCACAGGCATTCACAACCTTCTTTCTGAGGGCTTTATAGGGTAAAGAACACCAGACCCTTGATGTCTGTGGTTTAAATAAGACCGGTTCAACCTGCATACTATACTCACAAGACAAACAGAAAGTGCTCTACCTCCTTCCTCCAATGCAGTTCCACAAAACACCGCTGCATAACCAAGGCTTCCACCAGCCATTCATCATAAACAGTAGAAAAAAGTGTTTGCACATGGTTCTTGATCAAGTTAAAATCTTCTTTATTCAGCTAACCCAATGTTCCAGACTGGTCTAGGAGAAGGAGTGGGGTGAGCTGAACTGCTGAGAGAATGACTTGAACAACTTCTGTGCTTCTGCTGAATATGAGGATGCAGTTTTCAATAGTGTCTGCAGTAGTGAACGAACATGCAGCCCATCCTTAGTCTGCAGCTACAGTGGTCAATGAGGCCTTGTTTTAAGCCCCCGTTTGTTAAGAATATGTAAATACTTGACTGTCTTTAGCCTGGTTACACTTTAAGATAAACATACATATTCAATTAGACTGTACAATTTCTGTACAATCTACTTTGAATTTACCAAAGCTGTTATGCGAGGGCTGACATAAACATGTAATTCAATTTGTGTAGATTTACATTTTTAATTTAAATCTACAAAATTAGGCAGACCATTGCTTTGTATATTTGTTGGATGATCTAAATTAGATGGTACAGTCAGGCTGGGTTCACACCTAGATGTATCGAATATGCGCGTTTGTCGTGAGTTTCTACCACGATTCGCTGTAAAAAACGTGTGACAAACGCGCGTTTCCGAGGGCTACCTGGCTGTATCCCAATGGATACGCGCGGCAAATAAGCCTCAGGGTGTCACGTGCATGTTCAGCTTTACTCTAATAAATTATTCATTATTTGAATTGATGTACTGCAGAATGATATCCCATTTAACAGTACTCGTGCACAGAGGCTGTTGTAAGCTCTTTATTGTTTTATTCTCACATCACATCTCTCCAGCAATCCGTAGATAGCAGCTGTGAAACTGTTAAAAATCAGCTTATTTTTGGGTATTGAGTTATGCAGAGCTGCAGAGTGTGCCTGTGTAGCAAGTCTTCCAGGATACAATGACATAATCTCTCCTGTCTGATTGGCTGGAACAATTTTAGATAGTCCGTCATACTTTAGTACAGCCAGAGGTAATAAAATAATGAATTATATTTCAATGTGCTGCTTAGGATTCTTAATTAAATTAAAGTCAACCTGTCACCCTGCAAGAGCAGAGCACATGTTCACTTTAAGTTATTGTAAAAAAAAAAGATACATGAAAGGAAAATAAAAGTGTACTGAGAGATACAAACCTGACCAAAATAGGTGAATCAGAAGACCTTTTCCCAATAATATTGCTTACCTCATTTGCATGCTAGTTTTCTAGCCTCAGCATTTTTAGATTCTTCTTGACCAAGAACAAGTACACAGTTAGGGGTTCAATCATAAACGTTTGCACAGCACTAGCAGCCCTAGATGGCACTAATGAGCGTAGGAATTTCCTATACTTTTATAAATAAAGCACTTGAGCACTTAGAAAGCTGCACTATCTAACAAACTCTTGTACATTCATCACATCCTTTCACAAGGTTGCATAAGAGAGCCAGCTCATCAACATCTGTTACATCACAGAAAGTACCAGAAGACCCGCACCTCCAGGCCTAGGGCTGATGGGGGATTTAAGGAGTGGCTGGAGAAGCAGGGCTTCTGGGACTCTGTGGGACTCTCCTTTGGCTACATTTAGATTTATCAGATCACTGAATAATCCTGACTCCTTTTGCACTAGTCCTGAGAAAGTGGAAATAATCTTCAAAACAAGTCAGCCTTGCTTGTGAAAGGATGTTATGATTGCACAGTCCTCTCTCGTGAAAGAATGTGATGAATGTACAAGAGCTTGCTAGAAAGTGCCTCTTTCTGAGTGGTCAAGTGTTTTTAAACACATAAATGAACCACACCTTGGATTGTTTTTATTCTACTGTAGTTTTGCTGTATCCAAAGATTTTATTATATGTATTAATAAATGCATTTAATGCTTGAGTGCTATATTTATAAGTCCCTTTGTCTCTACACATTGCCACATGGTGAAGCTCAAATGAGTGTCTCATTAGTCCTGCTGTACTTCCAAAAAATGTAAAATAAAAGTATAGATTGAGGATTCAGTGGAGAGTGAGACACACTGGTAATGGCTGCTAATAACTGTTTGTATACCAAGGTGCACTGGAGGCCCCAAGATGTTGGTAATAGACAATAGACCCCACAAAAAATGTGTTTCGTTTAATTTCGGATCAATTTGGATTTTTATTTCTTTAATTTTTCGGATTTTGGATAGATATGAATTTTCGTTTCAAAGTCATGAGCTTGCCTGTAATGCAAACCCCAACCCCAAAAAAAATCTTATTGACCAGAGAACACTTTCATTAAAATAAGATAAATAAAATATTTAAATGTTGATGTACTATATGGCAAATTATATTGAATTTCGTCAAGAGTACTAACAACTATTGTACTGTAAACTGTGTTTAAATTATAGTTCCAAAAAGACACCAAGGAAAATGAGGACCTGCAAACTTTAAAATCAGCTAAAATGCACAGAAAATCATAAGACGTTCTCAGAAAAAGGAAGTATGAGAGTACATTGAAAAGGCTGCTAGAGGATCATGGAATCATTTAGGTTGAATAGGATCTTCTTCCTTTTTACACTACAGCTTGTTGTCTCATTTACAATATTCACATTATTTCACAAAAAAGAAATGTCCATCCCAAACAATTATGTACAACTAGAGTCAAACATAACCAAGCAATCGGTGCTGATAATATTGCTTTGGACATATCCTTTTGGAAATAAATTTCCACTCAATCAATGTCCCCAAAAATATGATGCTTCTCAGTGCTTCTTCACAGCAGACCGTTCTATGTACTCTTCAGCAAATGCTGTTATTATACATCATCGGGATGTGTGGACAAATAGGAAACAGCTACAAATTGCCAGGCCCCCTAACCAATGCTGGATATGGTTTAGTCTGGAATCCCCAAGCCATTGTCAAAACCTTCAGTTCATGGATAACCTTATCAATCTCACCATGTCCTACAGGGCCGACTCCGATATTTTTACACCCTATGGTTGGCTAGAGAAAAATGATGGTACCATCAACTTTACTATCCCTGAGAAGTCAAAAATTGTGGCTTGGGCTGTAAGTAATTGGAACCCAAGATCCAGAAGAGTACAGTACTATGATCAGTTAAAAAAATATTTGCATGTTGACATTTATGGTGGTCAACATCTCCCACTTCCTAGAAATGTTCATTTACAAACTATTTCAACATATAAATTCTATTTCGCTTTTGAAAATTCAATCCATGTAGACTATATCACTGAAAAACTGTGGATTAATTCACTTGAATCAGGAACTGTACCAGTAGTTTTGGGTCCAACACGTGCAAATTATGAGCGTTTTATCCCTCCAGACTCATTTATTCATGTGGATGACTTTTCTAGTGCCCAAGAATTGGCTTCTTATCTCCTCAGGCTGGATAAAGATGATCAAAAGTACCAACAATATTTCAACTGGAGATCAATCTATTCATTGCGAAATCGGAAGGAGCATGGATACCGCAATACTGCAGAGTATGCAAGTCTTTGAGAGAGGCACCACCTTATAGGACTATTCCAAGTGTTGCAGCATGGTTCAAATAGCAGGCTAAGAGCCTGGTATTAAAGTGTATTTCCTCTTTTGCAGTCAAATTGAGAAAATCATGCTATAGGTATGTTACATGTTCCAATCCACACAGCATACCTACAAATGATTAAAATATTTCTTACCTTTTTAGATGTTTCTGCAAGCTAATCAGAACAATTTCAAAGCGAGTTTGTCCCCAGGCAAAAACTAGGGACAGGCGGAGTTGTTTCCACTTAACATACAATGTTATTATAGCCAAGCTTCTAATGTTTAAACCTTGTTAAGACAGACAGTGTTCAAATCCAACTGATAATGATATCTGTTCAGTATAAGGTCATAACTATCCGGTGAATTAACCCTGACTGGGGGGCATGGAGGGACACCACACTTATAAACCCTCAGGAAGCATCCACCATATATGTAATAACAGGAGTGATAGAGCACGGAAATAATTGTCAGTGTATCAATATAGGCATCACCATTATTCTGAATTGAGAATCTCTTTTTTTGGACTGCACTGCTTGCACTTTGTACGAGTTTTTGTCATATTCCATTTTCATTATTGGGGGGAGTTACATGTATGCACTATTGTATTACAGCGTGATTGCAATCTGGTTAGTCTATTTAATTTAGCGCTGTTTATTTGGCTATCATTTGTACTTCCTGCCGCAGCCTATGTAGCTATTGCTGAATAAGCCCCAATACACTGCTTCAGTCAAAGGATAAAGACAGCACCATAACCCCTTATTCACTAGTATGCACTGCTCCATCAAATAAAAAATGCATTTTGCAAATCTAGTGCTATGCACTATATCCATGTTTTCTGAGTTGTATTTTTTTCTCACAAAAAATAGCTGTAGATCTCCTTTTGATTAGATTTTATAATAAATAACTATTATAATAAATACAATGGTAATGTATATATAAATATAGACACACACATATACCAGGGCCCAAATTTTCAAGTCCTGAGCTACTAGCCAGGCCTTAAGAGTTACTCACCACCAGTTTCCCCACCTAACCCCTACCCTGCCCTTAACTCCTGCCCCTAAAAACACCCTAAGGTCAGTGGAGTAAGGCAGAGTGTAGAGGTCAGCGGTGTAACGCAGAGCACAGAGATCAGTAATAACGCAGAGTGCAGAGGTCGGCTGTGTAACGCACAGTACAGAAGTCAGCGGTATGATGCATACCCTGTTTCCCCCAAAATAAGACCTACCCCGGAAATAAGACCTAGTACTATTTTTGGAAATTGCTAAAATATAAGACCTACCCTGAAAATAAGACCTAGTGTGTTTTTTTGAGCCAAAAAAAAATATAAGACTGTGTCTTATTTTCGGGGAAACACGGTAATACAGAAGTCAGCGGTGTGACGCAGAGAGCAAAGGTCATAATGTATATAGTGTATATACACTGAGTGGCCAGATTATTATGACCACCTGACGTTTGTAGGCAAATTAGCTATAATTTCGTGCTGAAGTTGCTAGAGGGCCAGACCCTTATAAATAGGGAAGCGGGTTGTTTACCACGACAGTAGAAGTGATTTTTTTCTGAAGATATGGGTAAACAACGCGATTTAACAGCCTTTGAACGTGGGATGATCGTAGCCATGGAGCGAGTATCAGCAAAACATCATAATTCGTTAAATGTTCAAGAGCAGCTGTTGTTAAAGTGTTTAAAGACTGGACTGTCAGCCGAAAATCTGGGTCTGAACGTGCGAATTGAGGACGTCAGCGACAAGTCAATGTTAGGGCAGAAGGGAGAGTGGCAAGACTGGTACAAGAACCTCATAATTCTCCTTTAAGCTTTTTGCCTGGAGTTACGAGTCTTCTTTCCTGGAATCTACTAGACCTCATTTATGAACAACATTACACTAGCATCATAAATCTGGTGCAAAGTGCATCAAATATATTCTGTGCAAGTTCAAACACTCACAATTGCTATGATAAATTCCCCCTAGTATATATACAGTATATATATATATCTTATGCATTATAAAAGGGCAATCACAAGGTGCCAGGAGGCATATACAAGAACAAGTACAGGTCTATTTTACTTTTCTTTACAATGTTAAAGGAGAATTATGGGGTGAGTGAAAAACACTCATCCCTATGATTCAAGCAGACCTGTGACACTGAAGCTCCCTGCAGAGATTCCTCTCCTTCCCTCTCCGATCCTCCAGTGCTGACTGGAGGAACAGACGGGGAGGGGGCGGGCACAGCTGGTTCTGCCTCTAGAGAGGCAGACCCAACTGTCAATCAGCCAGCGGGGTGGATCTCAACAGTATTCTCGGTATGCATTCTGGCTGCGGCGCGGCTCTGCGCTCTCAGCATTGCGCGCTATATACTGAGTTTAGGGTCACCAGGGCTCATTAGTGTGCAAAAAAGGTTGCTCCATAGTTCTCCTCCAGGTGCTCCAGCAAGGGTTCAATACCTTGTACTGACTACACATAGGAGAGTAGGACCATGGCTCTCTCCCAACACTCCAGGTAAGTGCTCTCCCAGCACTTACCTTAGACGTCATTTAAGGTAAGTGCTAACATTAACATGGGGGGGGAGGGAAACATTTTTTTGACTTTAATGTCACTTAAAGTAAACCTAAGTTACTGTTCCGTGTTTGTGGCATAGTCCCTGTAGATTGTGCTTTACACATGTTTTGTACAGTATGTATTGCTATTCACCCCTTTGGAATGTGCTTCATGCTGGAAATCAAACAAAAAAATTTAGCAAGCTGGATTTTTGTAAAGCACCACATCACATCAAAAGGCACAGGTGTAAATGCAGCCTAAAGCTCCCCCAAAGTGTAAGTAAAATGTGTTTATAACAAAATTGCTAATGGGCAGGTTTTGATAGCAAAGACTGTGTAAGTCTCTTCTACCAAAAAAGCTCCGACCTGCCTGTCAGTGATTTTTTTTTTTTCAGTGCACAGACCCAGCATGCTGGAATGAAGTAACTCCCATGCACAGGAGTTACATTATGCCAGCTAGCCAATCAAAGAACCTGGAAGAAGATCGGGAGAAGATGGCAGTGCCAACAATGGAAGGGAGAGTAGACAGCAATGTAGAAGGGCATTGTCTGCAAGTAAGTCAGCCATAATGTGCTACTTTAAGGAAGGTTTTGGAAGAAAACTACCGGACCTTAGTCCCGCTATGTGTGAGAACCTCTGTTTTAGTCCTCCTGCACATTAGAGCACGATGCAGCATCTCACTGTGCACTTAGTCAGGAGGGGGGCCCTGTCAGGTAGGGTGTAGGGGACCCAAGAATTCTAATGATGGCCCTAGATCCATTGGAGGCACAGACAGTTAAAGAATCTGAAAGCTTTAACCTCGCAGTTTTGATGGACTGACCCTTAAAAGGGTTCTAAACCCTCCGTTTTTTTGCCTATATCTACTGCTAGCAAGCAGTAGATATAGGCGAAAAGTTTAAAAAAAACCAAACAAAAAAACCGCTTTAACTAGGTTTAGGGCAGAGACGCAAGGTAAGTCTATGGGCGCGTGCACCCGCATGCAGACACCGCTGGATCGGAGGGACAGAGCAGTCAGCGCTGGATCGGAGAGCTGCCACAACGCTGGAGGGACACATGTAAACATCAGGAAAGAAGAAGATCGGAATAAGAGATGTCATTTAAGGTAAGTGCTAACATTAACATGGGGGGAGGGAAACATTTTTTTGACTTTAATGTCACTTTAAGTAAACCTAAGTTACTGTTCCGTGTTTGTGGCGTAGTCCCTGTAGATTGTGCTTTACACATGTTTTGTACAGTATGTATTGCTATTCACCCCTTTGGAATGTGCTTCATGCTGGAAATCAAACAAAAAAATTTAGCAAGCTGGATTTTTGTAAAGCACCACATCACATCAAAAGGCACAGGTGTAAATGCAGCCTAAAGCTGGCCATATACTGGTAGTTTTTCATATAAAAATTCATACGAAAAATCTCACCCGAACATTTGATAATGCCATCAGATACTTGGGGAATGTAATTCAAAATTTCATTTGATTTAACAAATTTGGAATAAATGGAATTTCAGATTCAATTTTTCACATTCACTGTTAGAATTTTGTTCATTTGAGAAAAATGTTCCATCCTGCACCTTTGATATTTTTGGCACTGTGGTCACAATTGATTGTTGATTTGATCCCATTAAGTATTAGAAAATCGAACCAACATTCCATATACTACTGGAGCTAGTGGTGCTGCCCCATGTTGTACAATTTGGTGATGGTGATGGTGACCATGTAGCTCAGCCACTGCTACCCTGTCCTCCTTATTGGCCTCATTGGTGAATTGGTGAATCCTCAGAGCCATCAGTCCCCCACAAGCAACTAAGAGCCTACACATCAGCCCATGCAAAATGCTGCCATGCTGTTTTGCAGCTGGTATGCCTGGGGGACAGTAGCCACAGAATGGTTTGCCATGACGTGGCGGGGATCGGTGAAATAGTAGGACTTACAGCTTTCTCAAGGCTTGATTTTTCCAAAGTCTGTCCCTGTGAGGCAGAACCAGAGGAGCATGAGGGTTGGGGTGCCAGCGGTGATGAGAAGAAGACGGGGAAGGCTTCCAAGAAAATGTTTCACCTCCCCCATATCCCAGGTGTTGTACATGGGTGGGGTGAGGCAGTAGAGGACACATTGCTCTCAGCAACAGTGAGGCTTACTCTGCCTCTGGAAAGTTGTGGCAAATGTTGCAGTGCTTGTTCAAGGACCCCAGGATTTGGGTCATTAAGGAGAGGGACAATTACTGGTTGCCCACCCTTTTGGATCAGTGTTACAAAGGGAAATGCCGGAGCTCATTCTGCAGAGGAACCTCTTAACAGCGCTCCCATAGAGTGACAAGATCAACTTTTATGGCCAACGTTCCTCCGATGCTCATGGTCGTAAAAGGAGTAACAATGGTGACTATGGCTGCCTAAGTGAGGCTTTCATAATGAATTGCTGCCTACTAACACTACTGTTGGCCTGCCATCAATTGCCTTCTCTTGCCACCTGCTG